CATCGCAGGAGGAGCTGATGAAGCTGGTGCGGCCCCCCTACTCCTACTCGGCCCTCATCGCCATGGCCATCCACGGGGCGCCCGACAAGCGCCTCACCCTCAGCCAGATCTACCAGTACGTGGCCGACCACTTCCCTTTCTACAACAAGAGCAAGGCCGGCTGGCAGAACTCCATCCGCCACAACCTGTCGCTCAACGACTGCTTCAAGAAGGTGCCCCGCGACGAGGACGACCCAGGTAACGGGGAGGCGTGGTGGCCGCTGCATCCGCAGCCCCTGGTGCCCAGGGAAGGCTCGCTGCCTTCCTCACATCCCCTTCTAGAAAGTTCTAAATCTGACCGTGCCCCCCAGAACTGGGGGTGCTGAGGGGAGTCAGCGGTGAAGGAGACCCGGGGCCCTGGAGGCAGATTGGGGTTTCCATCCTGGCTGGGCCACTGCCCAGTCCATGACCTCGGGCTGGTTAGATCCCCGAGCCTCAGTTTCCCCACCTGAAAAGCAGGGATGGTAACCGTGCCTCCTGCGAAGGCTTGTGGCCGGGGCATGGGGTCGTGCACGCCAGGCTGTGGTGCCTGGGGGTGCCCCCGAGGTCTGCAGCAGTGGCTGATGGGCCTGGACCCCCGGCAGCAGCTTGTAGGACTCCTGGGGGGTCCTGAAATGGAAACCCAGGGGGTCCCGGGGCTGCTGGGAAGAGATGGGGCGTTTGTTAAATGGCCACCAAGGGCCGCGTTCTGCTGCCGCCCTGGTTACATCACCTCCTTTCATCCACCGCTGCGGGGCGGCTTTTGGGAAACCCATTCTATAGATAAGGCAAGTAGCAGGCGGGAGACGCCTGCCCGCTCGGCAGGATGGAGGGATTGGCTGGAATGCGACCTGAACACAGGTCTCTGACACCAGACTGCGGACCTGTCCTTTCAATGGTGAATTTCTCCAACGCGGAGATGTCCGGAGCGTAGTGTACTGAACACTCACGTCTCCACGCCCAGAATGAAAGTCCGCTCCGGCCCCATCGCAGGAAGCCAGGAGACAGTGGGGGGAGGGGGGACCAGCTCCACCACCTGGAGGCTAGCAAGGGGGCCAGTGTGTGTCCCTTCAATAGCCGGCCGTCGCCTCGGGCCCAGAGACAGACAGGCAGGCAGAGTTCAGACCTAACCTGGGGCCCTCGGACTTCCCAGTCACACACCTAGCGCCTTCCTTTCCACTCAGCCTGAGGACGAAGGGCAGGTACAACGGGCCCACTTCTCAGACTAGGAAACTGAGGCTCGCCCAGAGCCCTTCAGTCAGTGAGGAGCAAAGTGGAGACTCAAGTCCATCTTTGGAGTCCATCCCCGGGACTTTGGGGAGCCCTGCCTTTTTTCCCAAGTGTTCTTCCTCATCCCCCCTCCCCCCCCACTCCACCTCCAGTACTTGAACTTCTGAGACTCTGCTGTGAACAAGGTCACAGCCCCTGCCTGTCTGTCTTTGAGCTCCGAGCAGCGAGGGGTTGGAACCCTTCTCCCTTCTCAGTCTCCGACTTTTGTTCTCTGTCTTTCCGGTTGTTCCCTGTGGTTTGACTTGACAGTGGGAGGAATAAGAGCAAAGCGCGGTGTCTGTCTCTCCACTCACCTCCCCGCTTTCGTTCGCACAGGCAAAGGGAACTACTGGACGCTGGACCCCAACTGTGAGAAGATGTTCGACAACGGAAACTTCCGCAGGAAGAGGAAGAGGAAGTCGGACGTCTCGTCGGGCCCCGGGGAGAAGGCGGAGAGCGGGCTCCTGGCGGGCAGCCCCAAGAGCGCAGATGCCCAGGACATCTTGGAAGGCACCTCCCCGGGCTCCGCCGGCTCCCCTGAGCAGCGACCATCCCCGGGGCCCCCGGGCACCCCATGCCTCAACGGCTTCCTCTCCTCCATGACGTCCTACGTGAGCGGGGCCAGCCCCGCCAGCCGCCCTGTGGCCACGCCGGGACTGAGTCCCGAGCCCACTGACAAGATGGGACAGAACTTGGGGAACTTCAACTCCTACACCCCACTCACCAGCCTCGGCGGCCACGGGGCCGGGGGCGAATGGGCCAACCCCATGCCCACCAACGCTCTGGGCTACGGAGGCTCTGTCCTCAACCAGTTCAGCCCCCACTTCTACAACAGCATCAACACGAACAGCGTCCTCTACGACTGCACAGTCCCTGAGCCACATGGACGTGCCCCAGGTCCCCCGGCTGCCCAGACACCTCCGAGCTGCCCAGACAGACACAGGAGGCTCAGAGCACTTCCTCCTGTTTCCGGAACCCGGTGTCAACCTTCCGTGTCACCCATACCTGGACACACACCCACAACTTGGCACTGGAAATGCTGGTGCCTGAATGACAGTCACCAAGGCGGCCCTTTGTTGAGCACTTACTATGTGCCTGGAGCCGTACTAGGCTCGGAAGGCCTAGCCACACTTACTCTCTAGCTACCTTGTGGGGGTCCTGTGAAGGTCCTCATTTTACAGATGAGAAAACTGGGTCATACAAACTGGTGAGTGGCAGAGCCAAGAGTCAGGTCCTGGGGGACCCCAATTTGGGGGCCAATGGAGGGAGGGGTGGAGGGATTGACTGAGCAGCGTCCGTGTGAAGGTCCGTGTGAAAGCTGGTTGTGACGAGCACACCCACTGCCTCTGGCCGTCCGTCCATCAGAACTCAGCACCAGCCCCGGGCACACGCCATCCTGGTGCTATGGCCCCAGCTTCCCTGCAGCGCTCCTTCCGCCGCCACTGGAGGCGGGAAGCCCAGGCCATGCCCCCGCAGAGGGGCACCATTGTCCCAGACCCGGAGACCTCCGGCAGGGCAGGGACAGGAGTGGTGCACCCCCAGCCCCCCACCCGGTGCTCCCCACCCGCAAACCCTCGCAAAGACCAGCTCCTTGTGTGCATGTCATGGACCGGTGAGCGGGCGGCGGCTGAGCCTTCCAAGAGAAACAGGCGGAGACCCGCTTCCCTTTCACAGCCCGAGACGTGAGTGTCAGAACAGGCCTCGCGGAGGGCCTGCTCCCACCAGGTCCAGGAGCAGCTCCTGGGACTGCTCTTGCTTCCCTATGTACTTTACACGCTTCTGTATGTACTTTACACGCTTCTGTATGTACTTTACACGCTTCCATATGTACTTTACACGCCTGTGATCCTTCCTCACAGCACACCCTGGGAAGTGTTGTTTTGTTTTCTTATTTTCTTTTTGATTAAAACAAACCAACAGAAAACTGTGTGCGTCCCTTCCTTGTGAGTTTCCCTGTCCCTGGGCTGCTGGTCGACTCAACTGGGGGCCAAGGACAGCCTGCAGCTGCGGCTTCAGGGACTGCAGGCAGAGAGAATGGGTGCAAGCTCCCTCCCTCCCACACTGGTGTGCAGACAGGGCAAAGGCCCCAAGGGAAAGAGGGGGGCTTGCAGGGCTGGGCAGGCGCGTGGAAGGAGCCCATCTATCGGACACAAACTACGGGCGGGGCATCGCCCAATCTTGACAGCTCACATGGTCCTCATAACTGCGCTTGGGTCATTTCACCCTCCTCAGCCCCTTGAAGGGTGGGCCTGCCCATTAACAGATGGGAAGACTGAGGGTCAGGGAGGTTGAGCAACTTGCCTGAAGTCCCCAGACTGCTTTCACCGGGGTCTTCTAACGCTTGCACCTCAACACACCGCAGTGCAGCCTCTGATGTGGCTAATGCTGCTGCCGGGGACAGCAGTGCCGTGGGCTCCAGGTCACCGAGGGCTGTGGGCAGGCGCTGGGCCGAGTGCCAGGCAGAGGGAGCGCTTTTGTCCTCACAACAGCACACCAGTGTGTGCGATTCGCAGGGGTGCCTGGCACAGTGCATGCTGGGAGTCACACGTGGAAACTGGAGGTCTTCTAGTTAGAGTCCCCTCCTCGGATATGCACACAGGGGGCTCAAGCCAGGGCCCCCTGACCTCCTGCACAGGCCACGCACAGGCTGCGCACACTGCCCCCTCAGGCCCTGCAGAGCTCTCTCCCGGAAGTAGCAGAGGGGAGGTGATAACAATGACATTAATGATGAGGATAGCAGCACTCACTGCGGTTCACCGTGTGCCAGGCACTGTGTTAGGATTTGACCTGCCCGGTGGCATCTAATCCTCCAAACCATCCAATGCGATCAATACTGTTGTGCCCATTTTAGAGGAGAGAAAACTGAGGCCTGGAGAGAGATTCTGTAACTTGATGAAGGGACACAGCCAGGATTCAAACGCAGATTCGTGGATGCCAAGGCTGAAACTCTCATCCACTGCACCAAGCACTGAGGAGAACAGGACTGACCACCGGAGACCAAATCAGGGAACCCGGGAAGAGGAAACGAGGGGTTCCCTGGACCGCCTCAGCTTCTTTCCTGGGGAGTCCTTGCCGCACGGAGCCTGATTCTCCGGGCCATGGAGGTGGGTGTGGGGTGGCTGAGGAGGGAAGGGAGGAGGAGGGCCACAGTGTCAGACTGTGAGGCATTAGAAAACTTGGGATAGGCTGATGCCTTGCTGCACAGAAGGGAAGCCTGAGTCTGGGGGAGGAAGGGACCCCATCAGTGTCACCAGGGAGATGAGGTCATAGGCAGAGTTCAATCGCAGGTCCCTGAAGCCGGACCAGGATTTTTATCACACTTGATCCCATTGCTACCACATGTGCCCGAATGGACTCGGCAATCCCACCGTCTCCCCTGATAATGTCACTGCCTGCTCCTGACGCCCCTCCTTTGTCACGGGAGGCCTGGTAGGTGCGGGCTGGGCAGGGCCTGGGGGTGAGGGTCCCGAAGAGAGACCAGCCTCCTGGGAGGAGGTGGCCATTCAGAACCAAGGCCCACTACACTCCAGCCTCCATTCTTCTTCAGCCCAGAATGCCATGGGCATAGCCGTGAAAGGATGTCTGCTCTCTGACAGCACAGAGCCCCTGCCAGCTCCTGTCGGTGATGCTCGGGCAGTTCCTGGTAGCAGCGCCAGGAGCTCCCGGAAAGGGAGGTGCGAGAGGCGCCTGGTCACGCTGCTGGAGCGCGGGGCCCAGCTTGAGAAGGGGGTCTCCCTGGTCAGCTTCCAGGGCTGGCTCTGGCCCCCCTTGTGGCTTCTCTTCCTCTGAGAAACAATGAGAGAGAGGGATGGAGAAAGAGGATGGAGGGAGGAAAGTATGGAGGCGAGAGATCTGAGAGGTCAGTTCCGTGTGCTGTGCAGGGGGTGGACACTGCATTTGTTAGCTCCTGCAGTTTGGCGTTGCATTGAAGACATGGTCCCCAACACCAGTAAAGGTCGAAGGAGAGGGCTTCCTGTGTGCTGGGAGCCCAGGGAGACTGCCTGGAGGAGGTGAGGCTGGAGCCAAAGGACAGTAGAAGTCAACTAGTGCACAGAGGTCTCCAAACCACTGGCTTACACACTCATCCTCAAACCACCTACCTTCAAGCCTCCAGCCCTGGATCACAGTCCAAGTTCTACGGGGAGGGGGCAGGGGAGTGTGCCTCAAAACAGAACATACATGTAAAATACAGGACATTCTTAAGAGAAAAGGGCAGCAGGACTTGGTTACTGGAGCTGCTGGTGGTGGCAGTGGGGGTGGTGGTGGGGGAGCAGTAGGAGTCAAGGACTCCCCAAACTCCTGGCCCAGGAGGCCAGGCGTCCTCCAGCCCCTCCTCCCGAGGGCTTCATTTCTGTTAGCGCGGAGAGGATATTGTAAAGGCCAATTACACAGCCAAAGAGGAAATCCAAAGGCAGGCAGGGGATAATAGAAAAGCTGTGGGCTGACGAGTGATTCATTATTGTTCTTTAAGGCAAGGAGAAGAAGAAATCATTGATCCTGGATGAAGAAATTGGGCTTGGCCGAGCCAGGCTGTGGGAGACGAGCCTGCTCCAGAATCCCCTGCGGGCCTGTGGTTGAGGAGTGAGGGGGAAGGAAGGGGGGATGGGCCACAAATACTTAGAGACATTTTGTCCAGACTGGGGATGGGAAGACCTACGGGACTGGGTTTCACTGCTTGGGAGCGGGGAGGCATTGGCCACACTCAGCGCTGTCCCCACACACGTGCCTCAGTGCCAGTCTTCACCTGCAGGGAACTCCCCCTGAGCCCATCTTCTGCAGGTGAGGAAATGTGGACTGTGAGAGAGAGAGCAACTGAAGGAGGTCGCACAGGCAGGAAGTGGTGGAGCGCCAGCTAAACCTCGGTTCAAGGTTCCTGACTCCCAGGGGAATTCCATCCCCTTGAACCACCTTGGTCCTGGGGGGTGTGATTTATGCCAAAGAGGACCTCCCAGTGATCTAGCCACTAGTACAATGTTTGATAAATATATATAAAAGAGCCTAAGCAACCGCTCAACCGTTCAACCGTTCAACCAGTAGCTATAATGCACACTGACCACTAAAGGGCAGACACTCAATGCACAGGCATGGGAACATGGAACCAACTGATGAATCTCAGAGGGAAGCGGGGAGAGGGGAGGACGAGAAGAGATTAAGCAAAGATCTGATATGCATACTAGAGGCCCAGTGCACGGATTTGTGCACCAGTGGGGTCCCTCAGCCTGGCCTGCAGGGATTGGGCTGAATCCATGTACCAGGCCTCCAACATCCCCCGAGGAGTCCTGGATTGCGAGAGGGTGCAGGCCAGGCCAAGGAACCCCACCGGTGCACAAATCCATGCACTGGGCCTCTAGTATTTATATAATTTTCCATTGGTTCGGTATCAGCTGATCCATCGGGCAACCAGGATTGATTAAGTTTGCCTGATGGGGAGTCAGATCAGAGTACAGGAAAATCGATGAGCCCTGATGCATCACTAGGGAGGCACATTGAGGGGGACACTGGACATGCCAGGAGAGAAGGAGAGAGAGAGAGAGAGAGAGAGAGAGAGAGAGAGAGAGAGAGAGAGAGAGAAACATCAATTGGCTGCCTCCCATATGCATCCTGACTGGGGATCAAACCTGCAACCTAGGTATGTGCCTTGACCAGAAATTGAACCCAAAACCCTTTGGTACACAGGATGATGTTCCAACCAACTGAGCCACCCGGCCAGGACCCCCAAAGTCTTAATAAAAACCTAGGGGTTTCCGAAGGACAGAGCAGCTGCCTGAAGGACAAGCCCCGGGCGGCTGAGGCCAAGGCGGCGGGCGGGCTGGGGTGCAGAGCAGCACGCAGGGCTGCAGCTTGGAAATGGCCTTATCTCTGCTGCTCAGGTGGAGTGTGCCACCTGTTTATGAGTAAACTAATGGCCTAATCTCAGCTGGAGGCAGGGTAACGGGGCGGGGCAGCTGGAGAGCACCCAGGCCGGGCTGGCCAGGGTTTAACCCTTTCTCGGCAGCAGCGGGCGACTATGTAAGCGCCCCTCCAATGAGAGGACCAGATCTACCCAAACCCTGCTTTTGGCTGGTTCCCTTCGGCCCCACTGTGGTCCCACCAATGTGAAGTTGGCTTTGCAACTTTTAATAACCTTGCAACAGCTGAGCAAAGCACTGAGTCATTACCTACCCAGCAAACAGCCACTATGCCTACTGTGTGCTGGGCGCTGTTGGGGCTGGGGTTAGGATGTGGTCCTATCTTTTTGGGGCGGGGTTACCATTCCGCCCTCTACAACCACAGAATCTTCCTCAGCGTAGCGTCCAAATGAATTGACCCCTGCAAGCAGAGGCTGGCCCGTGAAAGAAATCTAATCTCTGGTGTGAATCAAAGCCCGTGATTGGACCTATAAACGTTCACGGAGCACTGGTTATGTAAGAGCCAGGGTGCCCTCCCTGTGCACGGGGCCCTGTGAACGCTGAGAGATGACCCGGCAGGAAGGGCCTCAGCGGTGCCTGGCACGTGATGGCATTATTTAGGGCTCATTAGCTCTTCCAGGCACATCGCTGGATCCTGTAAGACCGAGCCCCTGCCCTAAAGGATAAACTAGCAAAAGCACCGGTAAGCACCGAACCTCAGACCATCCTAAAGGGAGGCAGCCCCCGGGGACTTACAGTCTTCCCACGTGTAATCCCATGTGTAACATCTGCCTTTCCCAATCCTCTGATTTATCCAACACTTACATCTTAGCTGCTACTCCAGGTCTCTTCTGTGCCAGGCTAAGGGGATAAAAATGGCTGATGCGCCTCGTTTAATTGAAATGCGATTGCCTATCCCCATTTCACAGATGGAAAGAGCAAGGCCGAACATCTAAGCCTGCACTTGACCGGTGTGGGTTTCTGCGTATTGGGAGAACCTGGCATCTGCCGACAGCCAGCTTGCTGAGGTTGTCCCCACTGTCCTTCCTCCGTCAGCCCTCCCTCCCCCCCTCCCTCCCCACTGGCGCAGGCTCCCTGAACGGGAAGACCACAGGGAGGTGGGGAGGGAGGCCTCATTTCAGCTTGGCACCAGGTGAATTCTTTAGGGCAAGAACCAGACGAGCTGGTGGCCTGGATGCTGAGAAGCCGGAAGAGAGAGATCATTCCCAGCAGGCGTGCCAAAGCGTTGCTGTATTGGGAAATCTCTCCCCTGCCCTACCCTGGGCTCCGCGCTGCCCTGGCCGTGGCAGACGGACCCTCTCCCCGGGTGCTTTCTCCCGGCCGGCTCCCACTTGCTCTCCAACTCTTACCTGCTGTCCAGGCTGCGCTCAGCTGGTCCCTCCCATGCTCTACCCCCCTGTGCTCATCTCTACTATCAAGATCCTCACGATGTACCCCCCCTGCCCAGACGGTGGTGACCTTGGTAAGGTCAGGGATCGTAGCCCCGACTCTTGTGTGAATCCAGCACCTGAGTGACTTACATAGGCACCTGGTTCAAGTTAAGGAATACGCATGTGAAATAAAAAAAAAAAAAAAGAATGAATGAATCGATCAATCAAAATTTATTTGTAGACAGGTTGCATGTAAATACCAAAACCACGATTCAGCCAAAGGCCTGCTTCATCCCAAACCCCACACCTGTGAGCACTCGTGTCCTGCAGGGATGTGTGGGCTGCTGGAGCGTCCAGTAGGTGCAGAGGGCAGGAGGCGGCTGGTGATGATGAGAGATACACGTGATTCAGGGATGGCTTCTGGACAGAAAGGCATTTATTCATTCCATGTTTATTGAGCAGCTTCTATGCCGCGGGCACTGAATTGATGCAGTGGAGCCAGAAAGAAGATAAGGCCTCTGCCCTCAAGTAGTTCACAGTTCCAGCTGGACAGATGTGCTGTGGGTGCGGGGAGGGGGAGCAGGGTAGTGTGGATGTAGGAGAAGATAAGCCCAAGGTCGGCTTTGGTCAGCTCAGGGACATGACCTGCTCTAGACCCAGAGGCCTCTGGGTGCACATCAACATGTAGGTGATGCCTCCCTGCCCTGAGACTGCAGCGTCCAGTCCTGCCTGACTCCCAGCCTCTGGGCTGCCCTGCACAGTTCAGACTTGCGAGTCTCCACAATCACAGGAGCCAATTCCTTAAGATCAAGATAGATAGATAGATAGATAGATAGATAGATAGATAGATAGATAGATAGATAGATAGAGATAGATGATAAGTAGGTAGATAGATGATAGATAGATAGATAGATAGATAGATAGATAGATAGATAGATAGAAAGTAGGTAGATAGATAGATGATAGGTAGGTAAGTAGATAGGAAGATAGATAGATGGATGGATGGATAGATAGATAGATAATGTATCTCCAGTTGGCTCTATTTCACTGGAGAACCCTGACTGGTATATATTTTGGTATCATTGCTCCAGAGATCTTTCTAGTTGGATGGTGTCTCACTCTTCTTAAATCTACCTTTAATTCGTCATACTCTTGGGATAAAATCCAAACCCTTCCAGATGACTTCCCAGCCTCAGTTTCCCCAATCCCTGGGCCTTCCTCTCCCCTCCGCTCGCGGTGCCCTAGTCTTCAGCCAGCCTGAGCAGGGAGGAGATATTGTGAGGACAAGAGCCCAAGACGCTCAGAACAGACCCCTCTCTCTACATCCCTACAGTTCCTCCACCCACTGCCAAGCAGATCTAGAACTTTCTAGGACACAGATGCAAGGAGGGCCTGGACCTGGGCCCTCTGGATTCAGTCTGAGGTCCCCGGGCACGAGTGCCCAGACTCAGGAGCAGGC